TATGCCAAATTTTTCTGCGGTGTTTCGTTTGCTAGCACTAGGGTTTTTTTCCAAATATGTAATAATTGCCAATTTTTTTCGACAATTCCAACTTCTTTTTTTCTTTTTTGTAATATTCGCTTGTTTTAAGTTTGCTCTATGTCGTGCTATTTTTAATGTTTGTAACAAAAAAAAACAGGTATTACAGTATTACGTTCTTGAGTTTAATAGGTAAAAGAACAGGTTATTAAAAAAAAAATTAGGGTTGTAAAAGTTACTAAGTAACGAATAATGAATATAATTTTTTAAGCAAAAAAAAGAAAAAAGAAAAAAAGTTAACTGCTTTTAAATTTTACAAAAACTAAATTATTAATCTTGTATAGCCTAAACGTGTTCATTTTATACATAATCACGGATTACGTACTCGTGTAATATATACTAGTAACAGCGTCAAAGAAATTTTAGATTATCACAAGATTTTCTCTTTATATACTCTCCAAACAATAACCCCCCCAATTATCGTACCCTCCAAACAATAACCCCCCAATTATCATACCCCCCCTCCGAACAATATACCCCCGGGTATAATTCAAGTTTTTTGATTAGTGGAATGTAACATACCCGGGTCTTTTATATGGCCATTTACAGTATATTCTTTTAAAAAATAATTCTGTTCTATAGTTATATATACTGTAATATATACTATTTTAAGATTTGGAAGTTTGATCTTCTACATAGCGGTCTGTGAAACAAACATTTTTGTCAATCAGACCTTATGAGGATATATACAAAATTTAAAGTATACATTACAGCATTGCAAAAGCATGTCGATCTAAATACTTGGAATGAGATTACTTGGTATTCTAAGAAAAAAAAAAACATTTTATATCAATTTTTGTAGGGCCCTGATTTTTCCACACCCTTTTTTGATATTTCCACACCTATATGTAAATCATATTTTTTTTTAAATTTAATCGAACCAAATTCGATGAAATTTTTTTATTTGAATTCTCCTGAACTGTAGAATTCAAATAAAAAATTCGAATTTGATTGTGTGGGTGTCGAGATACCTTCGACCAAAATAAAGAAAATTTTGCCGCAGCTAATATTTTGAAAAATTTTCCTTGAATTTGATTGAAAGTATCTCGATAACTACAAAACCAAATTCAATTGATTTTTTTTTATTTGAATTCCAATGTCATAGAATTTAAATAAAAAATATTAACCGAATTTGGTCGGGTGGTTGTTGAGATATCTTCAATCAAAGTCAAAAAAAATCTTGACGTCTATAAATTTTTTAAAATTTTGATCGAAGATATCTCGACAACGACCGACCAAATTTGATTTTTACTTGAATTTCTGGAACAGTAGAATTTAAATTTAAAAAAAATTCATAAAATTTGGTTTGATGGGTGTCGAAGGACCCCAAACAATACTAATAGAGATTATATTTGAAAAATAGCTAATAGAGGTTAAAATTTTGCAAAATTAAGCAATTTGATTGGCTAAAAATTTTTTTATCCAATCAAATTGCAGAAAAACTGCTAATGGCTCAAATATAACCTCTGTTATAATTAGTTGGGGCCTGGTGTCAAGATACCTTCGATCAAATTTAAGAAAAATTTTTAATCGTCTATTAAAATTTTAACTGCGGCAAAATTTTCTTGACTTTAATCAAAGGTATTTCGATACCCACACAATAAAATTCGATGAAATTTTTTTTATTTGAATTCTACAGTTCTGAAGAATTCAGATAGAAAAATTTCATCAAATTTGGTTGTGTGGGTATTGAGTTACTTTCGATCAAAATTTAAAAAAAAACATGATTTACATATGGGTGTGGAAAAATCAGAACCCTTTGAATTATTATAAAATACACCTATGGTGTTTTAGCACCTATGTATAATTTTTTTAAATAAAATTTAGGGTTAGGGTTAGGAAATTAAGAATTTTTTTTTTATATAATATATTATAGAGCTAATATAAGGTCTCAATCTCAGTTCTCGTGAGGTTTTTGAGGTTCTGAACATTTTTACTTAAAGAACCTGAACCCATTTACTTATTATGTTTTTGAGAAACGGGACCTATGGTGTAAAAACACCATAGGTGCGTTTTAGTAAAATCCGACCCTTTTTATATTTATCGTCAATTTATGTTTTGAGTCATAATAAAAAGAGGAAATATGGGATCTTTGCTAGGAAAATGACTCTATGAGCTATTGTTACACAGAATTTTTATTAAGAAAATCATAAATAAATCTATTTTTAGAAAAAAAATCCTAGCAAATATTCCATATACAGATTCAGATTACTGGGTTTTAATGATTTTGGACTCATTAGATTGAGGCAGTCATTTTGATGGCCAAAATGAACCAATGAATCAAAAGTTATTTATGATTAAAGATTTTGAAATTTTTAAAACTATTACAAAATTACTTATAATATGATAAAAAACTCTTTTACACAATTACGATTTTAAATTTCGGTTATTAAAGCCAATTCGTAATACTCAAAATTAGAATATTTAATAACGATAACAAAAGTTAACTTTATCATAATAACTTTCAATAAAACTTTATGTATAATATGATGAAAAACTTCTCACAATTACGCAAAGCCAATTTGCGATAAATGCTCCTCTTTTAGCCAGAGTATATACAGGTCAATATCAACCTAAGCCACAAAATCAAAATTCTCTCATATACAGTATATCAACTTTCTCGTTAATACCACTATAAACATGAATTCAATATCTAATAAAGCAGTGTTGGACAATGATGTCATATAAATGACAGAACTCATATGATTTTAATTCTATATCATATGAAAATATCATATATCATCGTCCAACACTGAATAAAACTGGTAAATTTTTTTAATCTCGGAAATTTTACGGCAAATTTCCAGAATTTTATTTAGCTAATTACTATAATACAAAAAAAAACCAGAATATTTTTTCACATATTCCGGAAAAAACCAATTACCGGAAATTTTCACGCCTGTTATATGTGTTATATAATAAATGTGGCAGATTAAAATGAAATCAGATTAAAATGAAATTTTTCTATTTTTTAGGAAAATTTAAAATTTTTTGGGGTTAGGATTAGGGTTAGGGTTAGGGTTTAGAGTTAGTTTTATTAATAAAAGAGTATAAGTAGGTTTTATAAACTTTAAAGATGAGCAAGAAAGATTCTCAGTTTCATTTTAATCCGATTTCATTATAATTTGCGACAATAAATAATCCAAAAAATTTATTAGATTATAGTATCTATCGGCCAATCGTGTCTGATATACCAATAAAAAGGAATTTCACGTAAAATTTCTGAATTTTAAGAATTTATTTTCATGCATATTTGTAAACTGTCGCATCATTATACTGTGGAGTAAAAAACCTCTAAAAATATTGTTTTCAACATTAAACCCTAAAGAGCAAAGCCACTTTTTTTTGAATATACGAGTTATATTACAACTGTCACCCACTATTTTGTGTGTTGGAGTTAGAGATTGGCTTAGTCTTAATTATAAAGACAAAGAAGAAGAAGGAATTTTGCTTAAATATGCAATTAAATATTCTTTAATTAAAATACTTCTTCGAACAGGCAAAAATTGTAAACAACTAATGTTTAAGTACACTGCAGTAACCTCTGTGGGTTTATGTCTGTTGCGCAATTATTTTCAATCTCAGGCAATAGAAGGATTAGTAACGAACCTCAATGTAAATTCTACATTGACATCTTTGAATCTCATAGCAATTCAATTTAAGAAAGACAATTTGAAGCCGGTATTGCGTGCACTGTAAAATTGTTTAGTCATAAATCACTCGGGATTCTCCATTACCAGTTTCGTAATATGGCCGGAAAAATTTTCTTCGATTTTGACCGATCTAAATCTATGAAGAAGCGTAACTTTTACAGAGATACAGGCGCACGAAAACTGCTGTACAATATTAAATATGCAAAGAATGGCTGAAGCATTCAAATCTACTATTACTAGAAGTGCTGAATTAGGAGATCCTGCATTTTCAAAAATACCACAGCTCATAAAGAACGTATCAAAGAAATCATTTCCTCGTGCTAATCTTTCTGAAGCTCATATATGGATACCAAATCATTATGATTCAGAGTATGCTATACTCGAAGATCATGGTACAACTCATATTTCTGTTGTAGATGCTAATGAGATAGCCATTAGTAGGCTGCCGCACTTAATCATTTCTGGGGTTCTCAAGTTATGGATTCAAATATTTGGATCTTTGTTTAATGATCAAATGGATGATTTCACAATTCCTATACTACCAACAATTGAAAGATTCTGGCCTACTCCTCATAATTTTCCTGCACCAGGTAAAAAACCAATGTTATCAACTTGTTCTACAATAATTAAAAGACCTGATGGAAGGTTTGAAATGGCTAGTAGTGGTACCAGAACTATGTCGACTGTTACGCAGGTACTTATTAAACTCAGTTTATTTAACCCTTTACTGAATTAGTAAGATTAACAATAATAAAATTTTGGTGAATTATTTATATATAGATAGACATTATTAAATATTTATGAATTTAATATGAACGTTCTGGAAGCTATTGACTGTCCAAGATTATACCATTCATTATTGCCAAATGAGGTAAATATAACTTCTATATAACTTTTTCAATACAGATAATGATGCGATCTAACAGATAATTGTTTTATTGTGAATTTATAGTTATTTGTTGAATCAGATTTCCATATGATATATTAGAAAATCTTATTAAAATTGGATATATAACTTCCATTCTTTTTACTTTGAATGTATAATGATAAATTAATATTAACAACTCAAAATTTAACTCTTATTTTTTTTAATATTATAATATTGGATCAGATATAAGAAAAGCATTTGCTAATGCACTTTGTAAGAATAACTCATTGCTTTTTCTGATTCTTTGTTATAACAATCTTGGGTTAGAAGGTGCAAGGAGAGAAAACGTTAGCTAATGCACTTACGCTAGGGTGGTGGGCACAAGGTTCATTGGCATGCCCTTGAGCTAGAAGGCATGCCTCTATCATATGATTAAAGGCAATCGATTATGTAATAGTATACTGCTTTAATTAACTATTATAATAAATATAGTTCAGCTTTTCTTATACAAAATTATTGATCTAGTAATATTTTTTTAATTAAATATTTAAAGTTATTAAGCTTTATAATTTATTGCTATAATTAATTCATTATATAATTTACATCTATCTTTATTAAAGTTCTACTTTATGTATACTAATTACTTTTAGTAATAGTAGAAATTTCATATGATTTATATATATAGTCGGACCCCTCTAAGTGCACATTCCCTAAGTGCAGTATGGTGGACAAACCCAATTTTGGGTGATCGTCATTGTGGCTTAGCCAATTTAATAAAAATTTTTTTTTGATTTTTTATACAGATTAAAGTACTTTTTATTCTTGCGGTTTCTCGAAACCTACTAAATTAACCCGCTCTAAAAAAAAAGAGAGTAAAAAGTCTTCGAATAACCTATATACTATTAAAATTAATCCCAAATAATCCCAATATTTAAAAAGTTTTACTAATAGCAAATTTTATAGGAAATGGACAGCAAGATTCGACCAAGAAGTGCGTTGTGAAGATTTGCAAGCGAGTTCCAGCCTTAAAATGGAAAAAAATAACTGACAATGTGTTAATTAAGACAGAAGCTAATGGAACTTTGGCTTCGTATTACAAAGATCATAAGGATGAGTATATGTGCTTGAACTGTTATAACGCGATCGTAGTAAATAGGGCAAGCGCATACGTGGAACATGCAGCTGAATGGACAAGAGGATTAAAAAGGCGTTGTAATGTTAATCTTTCTATATCTGATTCTATTTCATTACTAACTAATATTATTATTGAGAGAGAAGTTATAGGCAACGATCCACCTATTATTATGTTTTCTCAGCTTAAGTTAATTGCCGAAGACAAAAACGAACAATTGAGTTTCTTCTTTAACGAAATTGAAAAAATGGCTTGTTTGAAAAAAAAAAACGAAGCTGAGCGAAGGGCTCTTGAACGATCTCTGGCATATTAGTGTTATTTAATGTGCTGGAATTAGTGTATGGGTATACCACTTTGGAATTTGAAAGACGAGCTGACAGCAAGCGATGATAATCTTTCGTGAGTAGATTGTGTTAATATCTTAACGAAACTTCTATATGATAGAGAGAAAAATATACAGGAGCCAGTTATTTATAGCTTTAAACAGCTGCAAAGAGAAATGGTAGCTAAGGATTTTAGGCTAAGTAGTTTTTTTGATTCAATCTATAATGTATCTTTTCCCAAAATAGAAGTAGTAAATATTTAGATAAGCTAGATAAAAAATTGGCGGTTGAGTGTTATATTATTTGTGGTAACCAAAATGCTAAACTAACAGCGTTTAAAAAAGATATTTCACTTTTTGTAGATTTGATAGGGGTTTCTACAGAGGCTATTGATACCTTATCACATGCTGGTATAACGATTTCACGGAGGCATCTTGATAGAGAGAAAATAGCTATCGCTGATAATCATCTGCATAAGGTTACTTCGTATCTGAAGAACAAAAAAACTAGTGCCTTAGTGCTTAACGTCGATGATTATCACAATATTCATACCAAACGAACCCCCGATACATGCTTAATATCAAGTGCGGCACATATGACAACCTTGTTGCTAAATGGTGTTGACACGATGGCTATTCCATGAGTCACACCAAATGGTATATCAATTCATAATCCAAAACTAATTGATTCTGATCTTATATGTACTTTTTTAGATTCCTATTATATGGGACGAATGGCTAAAACTTTTAATGACCAGTTGTATTATGAAATATCTTTGGACAAGAAGCTTGAAAATATGACTCTTCACAAATATGATGATCGCATAAAAGAACGACAGGAAGAGCATAAAATGAAAGATACAATTCTTTTAGACTTTTTGAATTAAGTCTAAAAGATATAGATTCATATATTATTGCTTTAAAAGAAGTTTATAAGATTCTTTTATTAACTAATTATTTAACCAATTGTGTTATTCCAGTTGTAGCCGATTGGCCCGGCAGGTTTTTACTCGACAAGCCATTACTCTTCGTTTACTAAATCGTAAAGATGATATACCAAACGATATATTATCTTTTATTCCAATTATCGGTATTCTTCATATTTAACTGAATTTACTCGAATCAATATTGAAGACCTACTGGGACTTTTTTAATTTGGAGTATCAATATATCTTTAGTACAACTAAAACGCTGAGTAAATCACCAAGCCCGTATCAAATATTCATTCTTTTAGAGCTAATAAGGGATGCTTAGAAAGAAATCAAACCAATCGTAGTAGGTAAGTTTGATAATTGTTGTAAAGATACTGAGTTTCTATTTTTATTTGAATTATTAGACAATATGGTACCAGTTGAATTAGATATATATTCAACTTTATTTCGGTCTGGAGATTGGAATTCATATATCGAAGGCGTATTTCGAGCATGATGTATTTTTTTGAGGTTTGAAAGGCATAACTATAATAAAGTGCCTTTAGCATTTCTTTCAGATATATTCTATTGGAATCAGAATAATCATCCAATATTAGATATACTAAAAGATCATTTAGTTAAGTTTACAGATTATCTTGTTGAGAATATGCATAGTAGAATACGATGTCAGACCTCACCTTGTAATACCCCGTAACAACTTTCTAAAACAGCCAAAGTTGTTGACGCCAGAAAGACTCTTAGCGGATTTGAAGATGTATTCGTTGTTCAAAAAAAATCTACATATGCAGATAACGATCATTTGGCTTTATTAACGAAAAAAGCGGAGATGTTTCTTCTTGAAACCTTTGGTAACATTTATCGAAAGCTTGGTCAAAGCTCCATCATCAAGGGTCGGAATGAAAAAATTACCTATAAGCTGGCATCATTAGATTTTATTGTGAACAAAAAGCAAATGCTATTAGGATTCAGCAGTGAGCATTTGCCAGTATATGACAAATGTGATCATTGTCATAAGCTATTACACGATGGGACAGATAAAAGCTCTATAGTTATCGCATGTGATCATGGATACCATAAGAGCTGTTTCACTATTTCATTAAATAAAAAATGCCTTTATTGTGAAAATGTTCTTAAATTGGGTATACAAAATAATGTTTTATCTCTTCTTTCACGATTAAGTAAATTAGATACTAAGAAGTCAAATATAAAGGAATTTATTGATTCTGATGATGATAGTCCACAAGATCAGAAGATATCAAATGAAGATGATATATTAGAAGTGCTTCGAAAAGATAAGCAAGCATTACCGAGAGTGGAGCAAGCTTATTCTACGGCT